ATAAAAAATTGTACAAATATCATTCCCCTTTTTAATCTATTACTATGTCTTATTTTTTATGGATGGGTAATCAATTAATAATTATTTTAGATTAAATTTTTAATTTAATTTTTTAATTATTGTAAGACTTTTAAATTGGTTTTTAAATTAAAAAAAATCTTTGATTTAGTCTTTAAAACTTTTAAATTTAACTCCAAATTACTTCTTAAAAAATAACTAATGTGTTTGTTACTTAATAATAGAAGGGCATTACTTGATAATCATGTATCACGTTAGTAATAGAACACATCAATTATTTTTTAATAAAATGACCAATTTGGAACTAAATTTAGAAACTTTAGGGATTCAATTGAGAATTTTTTTAATTTATAGACCAATTTAGAGGTTCATACAATAATTGAGGGAGTAGGTTAGAGTTTAACCATTATCTTATAATTAATAAATTAGATATTTGGTACCCCTTTATTTCAAAATAATATAGGTTTATTTATTTAAAATTTATTCCAAAATAATAGTACTTTCACATTTTATGACAGATAAATATTTTTTTTTCAAAGTTAATCTTAAATTTTTTTTTAATTTTAATTATTCATCCTATCATAAAAAAAAAAGTCTTCATTTTTATTTCTTTTTTTAAGGTAAAATAAAAATTATCTCCAAATTCTTAATCTTAAGATAATAACAAAAAATGTCTATTCTAAGAGGAAGGGTGTAAAAATAACTTTTTATGGCAAATCTAAATTTTTAATTTTTAATTTTTTTTGGATAAATTGATCTATTTTAGAGTTTAGACTTTCAAGAAACTTTTTTTCAATAAAATTTTAAATTTATGAAAAAATACTTATCTTTTTAAAATAAGTGCTTTTAAATTTTATCAAACACCCTATCATTTGAGGCAGTGGCCTCAAAACACAGCATAGGAATAAGAACTAGGAAGCTTAAAGTTCAATAATCAACATGCATCCCCATGTACTAGTCTTTAGTAGAGTAGAAATAAATAGATTTACTTGTCTACAAAGTAGTACAGACATATGTATTAGGGATACTTGCTAGGAGACACCCAAAGTTGCCAAATTACACAATAGAAAGGGATATATATATATAAATGCATATGTTTGATGACAAACATCTAATAAGAAGGCAGCACAGATTAGTTCATGGTTGGTTTTTGTGATTTATATATATCCAAACGGCATGCTTGCAACTAATTAACACAGTTAAAAGGAGTCTTGTGTACTGAAAACCAAGTCAGTAACCTCCATTTTCTTGGAAACTTAAAACAAACTAGTTATCCCTGTTGATAAACCATATTTCTGGGCACACAGAATACTGGCAGCTGGCCTTCTTGTAGTTCATCTGCAACCAAAGTTTACAAAATAAAAGGTTGGATGTATCAATGCATGACAATAACATCCAAGCATATATATATATATATATATATATAGATGAAATGAAAGAAATCTTACACAAGTTGGAGAGCAATCTGGTCTTCATTGGAGTATTGGTTAATAGGGAGGAAGTTTCGATTATAGTGTTGTGAAGGCACAGGCTCATATACTGAGCCTTGCAACATGTTTGACTGCTGCTCCTGTTGCTCCTGTTGAATCCTCTCATTCTCAGCTATCTGCATCATATCCCAGAATTCTTTCTGTCATTTACTTCAATTCCTTCATATATATTTACATTCTATATATATAGGTTGAGGGATAAGTATACCTTTGCTCGCAGGTACATGTTATCATTCTGCAGCTCAATTTCCTGCAAATTTGTCAGGAGGATTTCAATTGAACAACAAGGTAGGATTTAAATTTGTCAAGATGGAAACAGAGAAGAAACACTTACCCTCTTTTGCATGTACTCGATCTCAGTGGATAATAATTCGTTCTGGTAGAATCCAAGCACGTATATATGTATGCCAGTGTAATATAAATGTTAATTTATTTTGAAAAGAAGATCAAAGAGAAGAGGGGGGGAGGCAAGGCCAGAAGACAAAACCTTTTTTGATCTAATTCTGCTGATTCCTTTCTCCAATCTTCCCTCCAAGTTCTTGAGATCCTTAACTGACAAAGAACTAAGAGCCTCACCCAGAATATGCCTGGAATAAAAACACATTCATATCTGCCATGAAGCCTAGAATGAATATAAACAAGAAAATAAAAACAAATATTCACTGAAAAACAAAACAACTATCCACCTGTTCATGTTCTGAATATCACGAATTTGTCTCCTTAGTTTTGAGGCTTCTTTCTGATAAAACTGTGGCCATTCAAAACATTAAAATATATGTATATATATTAATTCTAAAAAATAATAAGCTATAGAAAACTTTAGAACTATATGCTATGCCAAATCATGCAAGTTATTACCCGAAAGGTATTGCTGACTAAAAAAAAAAAAAACAAGAAGAAGAAAATTAAGGTGACTGGAGTTAACTACCTTAATTAATCCTTAATATTATTCATTTAGCGTTTATAGTGAGCTATTTTTCTATTCATTTCATTAATCAATCAATCATATAATAAAATGCACCTGAGTATTAGCTTCAGTAACTGATACCGGGTTTGAGGCATCCGAACATGCTTTCTTGTACCTTTCTATCGTTCCTCTGACACTGTAAATTTCACATTAGGAATTTGCATCATGCATTACATGGATTAATTTAAAAAATAAAATAAAATAAAATTTGAAAAGTAATAAATTTCTATTGTAATGGATATGCGTGCAGTGAGATATGGAATGGAACACATATCTTGAATCTAAAACACGTCTGTGTCAAGTTCATGATCCAATTAGTATATACCACATACTAAAGACGAAGAGTAAAATGTTAATAGTTATCAGTTTAGAGGAAAGGTTCAAGTTTTAAGCTTTTTCTCCTGTGATTAAAGTGTAAGAAGTAAAATTCTCCTTTTTCATTTGTTGTCTTAAATCATTCAAGAATAACAGATTCACCATCAACATGCAGTTAATGCAAGAAATTAAATTGATAACATCTCTATGCAAACGACAAAACAAAAGGCATTACTCTTTCTACTTTGGTTTCTTTTTGATACTTTTCATATGCCCAAGGCCTCTATATATGAATACGAGGTCAAGAGGAGACATGAATGCAAAATTTCACAACCAACTTAATAATTACTTTCTCATGTAGTCAAAACTATACGTATCCTGGATAAATTTTCAGAAACTACTTTTAATAATTTGTTTCTTCTAACTTAACATTAACCCATTCTATTAAGGAAAAACCATTAAAAACAAAATAACGAAAAAAATATAATTAATACAACTTTGATATCATGTGAAAATTATGCATACGAATTTTAATAGAAGATTTGCATTAAATCTAAAATCAATTGACAATAAATAAGATAACTCATCTTATATTTAAGTCATATACTTTTTTATTATATAGTCGATATAAAACTTTCCTACTGAAAAACTTTGCATATACTAAATTGCAACTAATTCCAAAAGTACTTGAACTAAAGCTATCTAGTTCCTTTTGTGCTAAATTTTTGTACATCAGATAATATGAAAAGAAAAACATAAGGGTCAATGTCAAGGCCAAACCCAACACAGAAGAAGATCCCAAAGAGTAAGCTGTTTCCTTAATTTAGTCGAGCCACTGATTGGTTGTCTCTGCCAAGCTGGCACGGGATTCATCAATATGATTGGCTCAAACATCTTTACTCTATTCCCATTACACAATGTGTAATAACTAGAAGAACACTCAAATACCGCCTTCTGTATTCTTTAAATGTATTCAGTTTTATAGGGAAAAGGCAAAAGAAATTGTATGTTTGTGTCTGTGAGCTTACAGACACAAACGACTGAGATCGGAGAAAACCTGTTGCAGCAGCCATTGTTCCACGCTCCCAAAAAGTGCAGAGCATCCCATTGGTTCGTACCCTCTCCTCCGTCACTTCAACTTTATCACACAGATGGGGTTTTCTCTTCTTTTTTTTTTACACAGAAATAGGGAAGCGTAGACCCATTAAATTGGAGTTGGTTTCCCTAAAGATGAAAGCTTTCTTGCTTTACTCAAAACCAATTTCTTCCCTCAAAAGATGAAAGCAGAAACATAAATCATCTCCACTCCTTCATATGTTATACCTAAGCTTTCACCAAAGATATTTATGAACAATATTCTAGACTTATGTTGCCACAAGAATGGAAGATAGAGTCTGCTTTGATTCACCCTTTCATATAAGAAATAAGAGATGAAAACTGAATGAATGAAGATAAAAGGAGAAGCCAAAAGGAATCATGACACCACCATGCGGTCATTGAACAACTGAAATATCATATCTGACGTGAACAAAAGATTCGTATGCTGTGTAACTAATTAAACAAACACCTAACACAAAAAAACCCTAATCAAATTCAAGGGCAAAATGGGAAATCTAAAAGAAAATTTCAGAGGCTAATTTGGGTATGTCGATTTTGTTTTTAAATTAATATATACCCATTTGGGTTTTGAACATGAAACCCTAATGGATCTTCAATCATAATCCACATACCCATTTGTTTTAGTAAACCCTAGCTAATCTGATATTTCAGCATGTTGGATTTGAATTGAAGTGGGGTATTTGCAATTTGACAATTTTTTTCATCACTATATTTTGTATAGAAGTGACGTGCTTTAGGAATCATCAAGGAGATGGAAGAAATATATGGACTAATAAGAGGATGACACCATAAGCTGATGGATGACATGTGGAGAGAGAAGAAGAAGAAGAAACAAGAAGATGATGGAAGGAAGAAAGAGAATGTATGTTTAGGAGCAAAGGAAGAAGCTGATTTGACAAAGCTGAACTGCTTGTATCATTACAACCCTAGCTCCAACTACTACCACAACTACAACACCTCAACGTCTATGTTTTCTGACAGATCTGGGTGTTCATCAAACCCATGCTCCAAAAAAGAAAGAAAAAAAAGAAGAAGTAAAGAAATAAAAACCGAAGCCAACATGAAAAATCTTAAAAACCCCTTGAAAATAAAGAGCACTCTATAAGATTTGTAAATTAATTAACCTGTGGTTGGCATACTCATAGAGACGACCGCGGGTGGAGAAGACGATGAGAGCAATCTCAGCATCACACAAGACAGACAACTCATAGGCTTTCTTGAGCAATCCGTTGCGGCGTTTACAGAAGGTGACCTGTCGATTTGTGGTGTTTTCGATCCGCTTGATCTCAATTTTGCCTCTTCCTATTTTTCTATGCGAAGAGCTTTCCGCTTCTTGATTTGGAAACTCCATGGTTGAAACCTGAACAAACCAACCATCTCATTATCAAAAACCAACAAAAAAAAAAAAAAAAAAAAAAGAAATCCACAAATTTTCTTCAAGTTTGGTTTGTTCCTATGCTCTCTAACCTGGTAAGGAAACATATAAAGGGTTAAAGCACAGAGTAGAACAAGTTGTTTAATGAAATAGATTTTCTTCTTTTTCACGGTAATAGAGGGAGTTGCAGAAAATGGAAGTTGGTTGTTTCTAGTGGAATTAGATAGATATTTATAGGGAGAATAATAGACCCTTTAACAATCACCGTACCAGCACGACACAAGCTTTTAATTTTCCTTTTAATTTTTGGGTTGGTGTTTATACGTACATTTCCTAATTTATATATTTGTGTTTTACCGTGTGAAAAATGATTGCTATGTACACAGCCATTAGAATATACCATTTAAAAAATTTTCACCTTTAATTTAAATTTAAAAATAATAAATTCATAATAAGTATATTTTAAAATATGTTGAATTAAAATATGTTTATTAGTGTCATTCCTTTTCAACAGAGAAAAAGAAAAAAAGAATTACCATTGCTACTAGAATATAAGGAGTATTCTAACTTATAATTTACAACTTAAACATAATGTATAAACATTATTACATGGAGTATTCTAACTTTATTACTAAAGAACGTACCGCATAGAAATAGTAGTGATATAATGCGCTCCTGAGTAGGCCTCGTAATATATTTGTTTTGTGTAGGAAATTATAGTAGAAGAAAAGGGAGAGAAGTGGAAAAAAGATGTTCAATTTGAGAAGCCATTAACAGTACTCTATTTCTAGGAATGGAAAAGGGAAGGTTGATAATCAAGGGTATTTTGGAAAGTGACAACAGCAAATGGAAAATGAAAAATGAAAAATAATTAGTACACTTTTCGATTTAACTTACTTGTCAATACTCATTAGTTGAACCATTAAAATTTGAAACTTCAAGTTTTTCTGTCTTTAATTCAAATATGAAAATAATAATTTCTTAATAAGTGTATTGTAAAGTATGTTAAATTAAAAAATATATGTATCAGTATCCTTAATTAATATATGTTTATTTTTATCTTTCAATTAATGGTCTTTATACTGTGTTTATCTACTACTATTAGTTTATTGTTATCATGTTATAAACTTGTGGTATTATTTTATTTTTTTATTTTTCAGAGTTTTATTTAGCCCCCCTTAAAAACATTTTTTGGCTCCACCACTTTGCTGTGTTATGATGAGTTGAATTTATATAAATATTAATATGAATTTTTGTTTTGATATTATTGACATTTGGATGAATTTTATAAGATTTTACATGATTTTCATTCTCTGTGCAGAAAAGGACTTAAATGCATAAAAGAAGAGTTTTTTAGATTAATTGAATATCTTTTGAAAGTTGAGGAACTGAATTGCAAGAAGAAGGGCACCTCTTTGGGACCTTAATGAATGAATCTTGAGTTTTGGGATCTAAGTGCTCATTGTACAAAAGCTGGAGAACAAATCTGTTATTTTATCATTAAAGAAATTGCAAAAGATCAGAAACTCGACACAAGCGTAGTGTCGACACATAATCTGGGAGTTGACATCATGCGTTAATTGTCCATAATCAAACTTTCTATTTCCTGTTTTGTGTTGACATGTAATTCGATGTGTCAGCACTATGCGTTCAGAGTTCAACATTCAAGTTTTTTATTTTGTTTCAAATCCTACTTCTATTTCAATTAGGGTTTTTAAAACCTTATAAATAGCCATCTAAATTCAGAATTAAGAGTGCTTTGGAGAGGCTACTGGCAACCCTCTTTTGGCATTCTTGAAGATCAAAAGAGAGGATTCAACAATAGGAAATCAAAAATTGCAATTTTCTCAAATTGAGTTTTATTCTTCCTTGTTGTTCTTATGTTCATAACTATGATTTTAGATTTTATTATTTTTATTATGAATTAATTTATTCTACTAGGGTTACGACGTAGCCTAATTAATTCAATATAGATTTTGTGATTTTATGCTTTTAATTAAAGTTATTTGCATGAGAAATTTATATTATTGATCTTAATGCATTGAAAGCCTAATCACCTTTCGATTGATTTAGTAATTTATGCATGAACTTGAGAAAAAATGTGTAAATTAGGCCAATAATAACATAAACCGTGTGCTAGACTATGAGACCGAGAAATAATTAACTCACATGTGGTAGTGGAGGAAGAGAAGAAAGTTAGGAACTCCCCTTCTTAAACTAGTGGTTTTCATAAAATTTAATACTCATTAGTTTGTTTAAAATTACATAAAGATATGATTAATTTAATAAACAAGTAAATGATTAACTTTGACTTGAGAAAGTTAGTTAATTAATTTAAGAAAATCTGTCATCATATGCAATAACACTCAACAAATTAGCATATTAATCTAAAATTTATATTGATTGATTATGATAAAATCAATGTCTTAGTATCTCATATCTTGGTAAGGTTTAAATTAATTATTATTTTCCTTTTATTATTTTTTAGTTAAACTTTCTTCCTTTTTGATAGTTCAAATAAATTTAGATTAATTATTTAAGTACTTGATTAGACACAATCCTCATGGATTTGACACTTTATTCATCATTATATTATTTGAAGCGACAAATACACTTATTAAGGTGATTTTAGTGCATCACGTTACTTTATTTTGTGTTGTACTTTTTCTATCCCATAAATCTATAAAATTTAACTAAAATTAGTAAAAGTATATACAATTAATTAAGAGTTACAAATTTTTATTTTGAAATAAAGCATTCTGCGAAATAGGTTTATGCTAAGCATAGACAAACAAAGCCTTGGTTTTGATTTTCATAAAATTTGCAACGACTGAAAATCAAATTAGGTCTTTAGTTCTCAGAGCGCCACCAGCTGTTAGTCTTCTGCTGACATTGATTATGCCAGACCCTAACGACTTCACCCTAGCAAACACAACATGAAATCATAAGTCTTTAAACCAAACTTGCTATGGGTGTATCGGAGAGAACTAACAAAGATATACAAGGGAGAAAAAATATGAGGGAACTCCTATGGAGATCAAGAAGGGAGAGGCTCACACAACTGGGGGAGAGGAAATCCTATCCCTAGCTTCGAGGGGAGAGTAAAATTTTTTTTAATCTTTTTACAAACTATATGTTATAAATTTTGATAATTTTTATTATTTGAATTTTCATATTGCTCTTTTTCATTTACGTTTTATAACTTTGTTTTACAATCAAATTTATTTATTTTTGAAAATTTTAAATTATTGAGTAAAGCTATCTATTTTGTACAAGCATATGTATCAATTTTGCCACTTGAATAAACAACTTTGCAATGATTTATTTATTTATTCTTAAAAAAAAAAACCAAACAACCTAAATTTAAAAAAGACAAAAAAATTAAATAAAAAAAAAAAAAAAAAAAAAAAAAAGAGGAAACCTAAATTTAATAAAATTAATAAAAAAAAAATAATAAAAAACCTGAAAATAAAAAATGTAAAAAGGATTAAATTTTTTTAAAAAAAAAAAAACAAAAACTTTAAAAAAAAAATAAAAAATGTGAAAAAGGAGTTCACATTAAGTTAACTTTAGCGGGGCTGGACTCAAAAATTGGGTTGGACCCTTTATTCTTTAAATAATATATATGAACTTTTAAAAATATTTTATAATAATAACATAAAAATTCAATTCCTAAGTCAATTACAATTGCCCACCACGTGGACAATTCTTTCATGATTCTTTTCTTTAAATATCTTGTCCTTTAGTCTTGTCACTGTTTTAGTGCCGCTTTATGCATTAAAATTATAAGTTAAATATTAAAATTATTAAATTATTATTAATAAAATACTATAAAAATAAAAAATAATTTTGTGTTCAAACATCTACTAACACTTTATAAAAATCTTTAATATTAGTTTAAGATATAAAGTTTGAAACTCATCCGAACAGTAAAAAAAAAATAATATATAAAATAATTTTAAAAATATTTTGTCTAAACTACATTGTTACAATGTAGGGAGGTGTAAAACACCTTTTTCAAAATAAAACATTACACAAGTGAC